GAGGTCCAGTGGGTAAGGACATTCGGGGCTTGAGGGCCGCTACGGACTGTTAGTTACTGTCGAGGAGCACAGTGTTGCTGGACGTGGTGCTGGGACTGCCAAGGACGTTGCTGGTGCTACAGCTGCCGCGTCACCCCATCCAGTGCCTCCTTCCCCGTCACTGCTGTGCTCAGCCCCACTGCCACAGCCACTGTGTACTTCGCGAGCCTTAGCCCAGGGGCTCGTCTCCCCGCATGCTATCACCCAATGGCCTCTTGAGATCCGTGGGGTTTTTGTGGTTGATTTTCAGAGGCAGACCGTCAGGCCTTCCTGCTAGTCTGTCTTAGTCGGGAAGCTCTGCTGAAGCCTGTGCACCGTGGGTGGCCCTGCTGGTGTTTGAAACTCCCGTGGCAGAGCCCCCGGCCTTGCAGCAGCACGCAAGCCCCCACAGTCTGACACCCAGACACACAGGGACAGTACACGTAAGACCAGGAGGCTTTATTTTCTCATGTAAGGAAAATCACATGGGGTTTTACTCCCACAGAAGCAACATTTATTCCAACTGCTGAGGTGATGAGGAACGAGGGCTTGTCTTGCTCTGGGCCTGGCTCTCATCAGTTCCTGGGAGTCTGTTATACCCCACAGAGAAACCCACTGCCTCCTCGAGTCCGAAAAAGAACCTTCTGGTGCACAGGCAGACAGCAGAATGGTTTGAGTGCAGTATATAGAACTTAGGGCAAAAGTCACAACACAGAGGCGTGTTCGTCCCGGAGGCAGCCTCTGCCCCAATGAAGCACTCCTTTTCCTACCCAGGAAAAACGTTAGTAACAAGAACATCAGACTTCCTCTAGTTTACACATGGGGGAACTCTCGGGCAAGGACACAACCCAGAATATCTCTGCCAAGATTTCTCATTCCCTCCTCCCCTACATCTTAGGGTATAAGTAGCCTCTTTACGCAAACATTGCTTATTGCTTCTAGAAATTCATCTCTTTTGCATAGAGGAGCCCTGGTGGCATAGTGGGTAAGACATTTGGTTGCTAGCCAGAAGGTTAGCGGTTCAAACCCACCAGCTGCTCTGTAGGAGGAAGATGGGGTGAACTACTTCTGTCAAGAAACCCTTGGAAATCCAGTGGGTGTTGCTATCAGTCAGAATCGACTCAATGGCAGTGGATCTGGTTTTGCACGGAGGAAAAGCATCTCAAAATTGGACAGAAAGAAAGCACAGAGCGGAGCAATTCTGACAAGGTCTCAGCCCCCCGGCCCCCAACAATCTTGGGCATTCCACTCTGAGGACTACAGGCCATGCAGCGGCCTACACTTACGCTGCTGTGTAAGTATGCAGCAGCACTCGGGACTGTGAACAACTGCTGAGCAACCACGCAAGGGCAGTCCAAGGTTGGCGCTTAGGGTTGAGTGTTGGTCTACTAGCTGAAAGGTTGGTGGCTTGACCCCCGCACAGGAACCGTGGAAGACAGGCCTGCTGATCTGTTTCAGAAAGGTCACAGCCTTGAACACCCCAAGGAGTTCTCTGCACACGAGGGCTCACCAAGAGTAATAAACAATGACTTGACAGTAACTAACAATGAATGTGGTGGTGTCAACTTGGCTGGGCCTGGTTGAGTGTCTGGGCAGCTGGATGTAGTATTCCCCATGATGAGACTGGTCATTAACTCTACGGTAGAATCTATTGGAGTAGTTGAATAACTGCTTTGGGTATGTACTGTTCTTCCCATATATAAGAAGCAGCTTTGGGGATGGTCTCTAGCTTAGGGCACACTTGAACCCTGCACAGTCATTTTTCAGCAGCCTGCCACGTTCTGCCAATTCTGGGACTTTCAATGGACTTGAATCAATAGCCTGCCATGTTGTTTGGTAACATCTGGACTGTGCCATCTTATTTGTCGACCTTGGGCTTGTCAGCCTCAGCAGACGGTAGTTGCCTGAGTGAAGAGATGCCTCTAGCTTCAGTGGGCCAGGAGCAAGAGGCAGAGCTGAAGCCCAAGGTCGAGGGGCTTTCATGCAGCCCCTAGAGCCTGGCACTTTGAACTCAGACTTCTAGCCTTCCATACTGTAAGAGAATAAAGTCCTGTTTGTTCAAGCCATCCCATTTGTGGTATATTCCTGTCAGAGCAGCACAAGAGGTAACCAAAACAACAACCATCCAAGATGGCCATCTTCCAATCTTTACCAAGAGCCACCTTGCTCTGAGATGGACTTCTTTCAAACGTTTGATTGGAAGAATGGCTGGAAAAAAGTGCACTCTTGAGTGGTCAGTAGCTGCTTCCTGCTGGCTCCCCACCCCTGAATAAAGTACACTACTGTCTGTGATGGTGACTGGGATGAAGCAAAGGCACTTTGTGGGGATCAGTGGGTAGGAGGGGACATGTGGGAGCCCCAAAGCCTGAGAAGTTACACTGGCCTGTGGCCCTGCTTGGTGCCCTCCCTCGAGGACCATGGCCCTGCTTGGTGCTGTGTCTTGGGGACCGTGGCCCCACTGGGCACCGTGTCTTTGAACGCCATGTCTCAGGGACTGCAGTCTAGTCTGGCACCATGTCTTGGGGACTGCGGTCCCACCAGGCGCCAAGTCTTGGGGACCGCAGCCCTGTCTGGCACTGTGTCTCAGGGACCATGGCCCCAACCAGCACCATGTCTTGGGGATCCTACCCTTCCTCTGAAGACCACATACATTGCCCCGATGGCTTTGATCTGTTTCTGTAAGTCCATTAGGTTCTACTGCCTTCATTTTTTCAACCAAGAGAATTTTCCATTCTCATTTAATTACATGCTGGGCTGGAAAAACAAAATAAGCAAAACAAAAACATGCTTTTGTTCTAACTCTGGGAACATGTTTTCTGAACAAGAAAAGTCATATATTTTGTCACAAGACTTGGAAGTTGGCTCTCTGACATTTTGTGGCAAGCTACACTTGAGATGTCAAAATATATTTTATTACAGATCTCCACTCCACCAAATGCTCCTTGGAAGCAAGGACGGCTCACTCACTGTCGATGTGTCATCAGGAAAACAATTGCTTCCTGGTGAAGCAGAGGGTCAGTGAAACACAGGGCAACCCTGCCTGACACAGTAGCATCAACACTGGACTCAACAAGCCAATGAGCAAAGGATGGTGCAGGAGAGAGTGCCATCTTGTTCTCCTGTGCACGAGGTCCCCGGGAGCGGGAGCTGACTCAGTGGTAACAACCCCACAGCCCTGTAAGTCCTATTTCCCTTTTCTTTCACAGAAGATCACTCACTGCTATTTTTTTAAACATTTTTTTTTTTTTTTAATAATACCTCCCTATCATGGGTGGCCCCATAAAATCTCCTGCACATTAGGCACCACCCTTATCTAGTTAATGATCTACTTAAGGTTAAGGCATGGCCTGAGTGGCCACGTGCACCCCATGGCTCACAATGACAGAGGCACTAGATGCCTTTGTCTGTTCAAGGTCTCTTCAGAGAACATGAACAGCAGAAGACGTCAGTAGCAGGACTCATGACTTTTGTCAACGTTGTTACTACAAATATGAGGTGATGGAACCTGTCTACTTGGAATTACTACACTTCCAGCCTTGGACATGGATTCTGGAGCCAATGGGAAAGAGAATTAAAATGACTGTCAGTACATGCTGATCCGGTCTCCACTGTAAAAGAAAAGGAAACCATCCATCTCTAGACATCTGAACTCTCTACGGCACACAGTGGAGAGTCCAAACCAAGAACCACAGGTCTGCATGCTGAAACTGGAATATTCTAGAATCCACATTTAAAACCTAACTGAACATAATGTACATGAACATGTACAGGAAGACTGATATTGTGTCTTCATGTTGAATCTGGGGCCCGACACATACTGAGGCCGTCTAGATGACACACACACACAGGCAGTCCAGAGCCCGACACACATGCAGGCCGGCCAGAGTCTGATACACAGAGACCAAAAATCAACATCACTACTGAAGACATTTGATGCAGCACAAAATGCACTTTTAAAGACAAGCCATTAAATTTGCTGATAATGCCAGACACGCAGCAGTCTAGAATCACACCTGAACTTGCTGCTCAATAAACATGTTGGTTCAATGAATGAAGATTCCTGTTTCAAGAAGCAATTTGATACCCTGCACTATTCCACACAAAAACCAAAGTCCAACATCAAAATTAAAAGCCTACCTTTTTGTTCCAACTGCCATAATGTATCTTGATGACGTTTTACAGGACACAATAATTTGATGCCATCTAACTATCAGTAACATTGTGACAGACACTGATGACTTTCCCAGTACCAAACACTGGTCGTGCACAGGTTGAGGTGGGGGCTCAGACGTGCAGTGAGGTGCCTGCAGGCTCCAAGCTGACCCTCTACGTATTGGGCTCTTGCTGACAACCACCAGCAACCCCAAAAATGAAAAACATTTCACTGGATGCTCTGCCATCCCCCAAAGCCACACAGGTCCAGTATGGGACCCTTCGTGCATGAGTTTCCTTCAGAGCCCAACTCTTTGCCCTGTCAACTCCTCCTGCAGGATATCACACCCTCCGACTCTCTTCATTTCCCAGTTTTAGTAACATTTCCTCACAGTCTCTGTGTTTCTCTGGTGGCATTTCTATGACCACCCGGCAGTCGCCCGAGGACAGCCCCTGCCAACTACAAGGCCACGCCTGTCCTGGCCTCAGTCTCCCTGCTCAGGAGCACTGACCACCTCATGCTGCATGAGTGACAGGCACCGTGAGGAGGGCTGAGGGCACTGAGGACAAACCCCTGCACGAGCGCACAGGTACAAGCGGGCTCTCCTTGGAACAGAGCGTGCCTGAGAAGCACTGTCATGTCTGCATCCCTCTGCGTGGCCCAGTGTGAAGGTCCCACAGGCAGATGATGCCCTGCTCTTTGGTCCGTGAGCTCCCCCATGTGCAGGGCCCAGCTGACCCCAGGCATTTGCTGGAAACTGGCCATCAGCAGCCTGGGCGCTATGTCTAACTGTAGGTCATGTGGGAACGGGGTCACGCGTGCACAGTACCTGCTGACGCTTTTCAAACTCCAGCTTGATGCGGGACTTGATGCAGTTGCAGGTGTCCTGGTAGGTCTGCTGCAGAGCCAGCTCCATAAGGTGCTTATGGTAGGCACCTGCCAGGTTCCCACAGATGAAGATGATGACATTGGCCAGTATCTGGAGGGACAGAGAGGGTAGGCGGTGGTGAGTGTCTCTAAATCACAGTAAAATGCTCATCCATGTGCCTCAGAGACAAGACGTGGCAGCAGCCCATGGCCACCCGTGGCACACCAGCATCTCCGTTTACTGAACGGACAGCAGCTACCTTCTCTGAGATTCTACCCCTCGTGTCAGCCTGTCGTGCTGGGGTGGCGGGCGCGTGGCTGCGGTGCTGGGAGCTGTGTCACTGGTCTTTCAGATACGAGCAGCGTCAGCCGTGGGGGCCAGGCTTCAGTGGAGCTTCTGGACTAAGACAGACTCGGGAGCAAAGGCTGGCCGTAAAAGCTCTAAGACTCACGACAGAACAGTGTCAGCCACGGTGCTGAGAGGGAAGCCCCAGGATGGAAGGCACTCGGAGCCCACGGTGGTTACACAAGGGGCTTGCGATCCCAACGATCACGGAGCTGGTGCAGGACCAGGCAGCTTTCCAGTCCACTGTCCATGGGGTCTCCCTGAGTCAGGGCCACCACAGTGCCGCCTGCCCACATCCCCAAACCCCCTTCATGGATCCACTCATGGACAGCTGAATGGCAAGACCCCCACTTGACTCTGGGCTCAGCCCTGGGGTCTGCTTTGGCTGATGCAGTGTGGGCAGGAGTGAGGGGTGTTGGACCCTCCAGGCCTTAGGAGGCCTGTGTGCTTGGGGTCACTCTCTTGTGCAAGCGTCATTGCCACAAGAGGACATGCATCAGTGAGCCCTGTGGTTCCAGGAAGACACACGGAAAAGAACCGCCCAGACAGCCCACAGGGCACCCCTCAGGTGCCACAGTCCCCACGCAGCCTGCTGCTTGACTGCGTGACTGGTGCAGAGTCCTTCCTACCAACGCGGCATCCAGGGGGCCTGGATAAGCGATGCCTCTCAGTATAGCACCATGCAGCTTCTCAAACCACACAGCCTAATGCTGTCTTACCCTGATGACAAAAGTCATTCATAATCACAGGAAGAAAGGGGAAAAATGTAAGGACTCAAAGGCCCTAACTACTACCCTAAAGTGGCAGGTGGAACCAACCCAGTGGTGCTGTGGGAGAAGGTTGTGGTTATTGGCTTCTGTAAAGGTCGGCACTCTGGTGGCACAGCACCTAAGGCATTTGACTGTTACCAGAAGGTCGGCAGTTCAAACCCACCAGCGACTCTGCTCAAGGAAGACTGGCAATCCAAATCCTTAAAGATTTACTGCCTCGGAAAGCCGAAGGGGTGGCTGTGAGTCAGAATCAACTGGATGGCAACGAGCTTGTAAAGACTACAGCCAAATAACATACTATACAAAACATTGTTCCACCTACTACTTTGGCGAGCAGCGACTGGGACCTTAAAAGCTAGCAAGCTGCCATCTAGATGCAACAACAGGTCTCTCCTCATCAAGAAGAAAGAAGAAAAGCAAAATTAATGGAAACAATCAGTCCTAGCGGCTGGTACACCATCCGATCTGCAACCTATACAACTATGAGACCAGAAGAACTAGATGGTGCCCAGCTACCACTGCCATCCACTTGGAAGGGATGTAGGAGATCCTGCATAAAGAGGGAGAACAATGTGGAACAAAACTCAAAATCATTTGGAGGCAAAAAAAAAAAAAAAAAGGTGGGGACCAGGTTTGCTGGTCCAATAGAGCCTGGTGTAACCACTGAGACTATGGCCCCTAGTTGCCCTTCAGGTCTGGAATTGAACCCACAACTGTGGTTTCCAGCCAAACAAAGTACAGGCATGTGAGTTAAACATTTACCTCAAGTAGACACACGCCCTGGAGAGAACAATCATGGAAGAAGGAAGGGCTTCCCCTTATGCACAGGGAGATAGCTCAGGGTGCAGAAGAGTATGAAGGGATGGACACTGGGAGGAGGTAACTATGGGGAGGAAGTGGGAGGGGAGCTGCTGCATTGTAAATTTTGGTCAATGACATGAGACAAAGTATATGTGAACTGCTGTATGAAAAGTGAATTTACTCTGTAAATCTTCACCCAAATCCTAATAAAAAAAAAAAATAAATAGATAGATAGATAGATAGATAGATAGATAAAGACTACAGCCAAGTAAACCCTCTGGAGAAGCCATGGGGCCGCATAGTCAGAATCTATTCATCGGCCCTGGTTTTTAGGTTAAGAGAATTGGCCCAGGTATTTCAATAACTAATAACTACGACTGCACGACTACGACGGATGCCCTGCAGCGTTTTCCACTCAACAGGACGTGTCAGTAGACCGAGGGCAGGGACTGAGCGGGTCCGTGACGCTTCTCTTTCCAAACGACATCCACTCACTGTCATTTTCTAGCAGACTGTGAGGCAGAACATGCAATCCAAAGCCCTATTTTTACAGTTTCGGGTTTGGGTCTTCATGTCTTCCTTCATCTGGCGGCCTTGTTTAGCGACTCTCACACCTGTCAGAAAACAGCAGGAAAACTCAGCCTCCCACAGGACATCTTGGAAGCCAGGAAGTTCTCCAAGGTACAAACGCCAGTCAAGGTTACCCCAGAGCCTAAAATCGCGCTTGAAGCAGACAGTGCACAGGATCCGGAACTGCTACAATTCGAACTGTGCCAGGACATCGCCACAGAAGCCCTGATGCCCCTCCCTGTCTCCAGCTCCCTGTTGTCACTCTATGTAAAAGCGGGCGATCTGTCAACACTTCTGCCGGCTCTCAGGATAGGCAAAACTCCTGTACTCTGTGCCATCAGATTAGGACGCAACCTCATTTCAGTGACCACCCACGATCCGACTTCCAAACGGGCACTGTCCTTAGCCGCCCTCAAGTCAGTTCCTCATGTCATGGCATCCCCACGCACCATGAACAATGAAACTCTGCCCAGTCCCACGCCACGCCCAGGACTGTACCACCCATGGGACTGCGCCACCCCCCATCTGGCGCCATCCCCAGGTCTGTGCCACCCCTGGTCCCGAGCCATCCCCAGTCTTGCACCACCCCCACTCCTGCGCACCCCGAGTCTTGCACCATCCCCAGGTCTGCACCACCCCCAGTCCTGTGCCACCCCCAGGACCGCGCCACCCATGGGACTGTGCCACCCCCATCCTGCACCATCCCCAGGTCTGCGCCACCCTTGGTCCCGAGCCACCCCCAGGCTGCACCACTGCCAGTCCTGGTCCTGCGCCACCCTGTCTCCCCCCCCAAGGTTGTGGATCAGACCACTGTGCTCCACCGGGTTTTTATGGGCTGGTTTTAAGATGCAGATTGCCAGGTCTTTCTTGCGTGCCTCTTTTACTCTGGAAGCTCCCCTGAAACCTGCTCAGCCTCACAGCACTTGCAAGCCTCCATGGACAGACAGGCAGTGGCTGTGTGTGACATGCATTGGCTGGGAATCGAACCCAGGTGTCCAGCACGGAAGGCGAGAATTCTACCCCTGACCTTCCCCACCTCCTCTGAAGTCAGACAGACCCGAGGTGACACCAGATTACAACAGAGGCACATCGGCAGAGAGACACAGGTACAACAGCATGGGCTCAGCATGAGCAAACCCACGTGCAAGCATCAGTCAGGACATCACAGGGAGAGTCGGCTTCCAACCCTGCAGAGCAGCCTCGGACCCCAGACAGAGGGGAGCAAGGGCTGCCTCACAAAGGCCTGCGTCCACTGAAGCATCCTCCCGCCACACAGTCAGCCCGAGATCCAGCAAAGGACCCGGACCCTCGGATGTATCACTGAGGCTTTTGGTGCCTCAAAAACACTCACTGCCATCGAGTAGGATCTGACTCATAGTGACCCCTCCTTGGGTTTCCAAGGTGGTACCACTATGAAGCAGATTGCCCAACCTTCCTTCCGAGGAGTGGCTGGTGGGTTTGAACCACCAGCCTTCTGGTCAGCAGTCACATGCCTTAGGTGCCATGCCACCAGAGTCTTTTCCACACAAACTGAACTCCAGCTGCTCTTCAGCGGTGCACCTTGTTCCATTAGGATGGGGCCGCCTGGCGCAGTGGAGGTGGACCGCGTCTCCCCACAGGGCACGTCTGTTTCCACCGCCAGCACTGCCTTCCCCCCGCTGCCGCATGTTCTCCGGCAGAGCTTGTTTTGGGGGACTGCAGAGGCAGATGCCCGACCCACTGACACCAGCCTGACATCTGGTCAGTGACAGCGCAATTTCGGAGGGATGCACAGGACCTCAGGGGATGCACGAGACCTTGGGGCAATCGTGGGACCGCAAGGGGTCAGGAGGGACCTCAGGCTGCCTGCAGGACTTGCCCTGGTCTCTGAGCAATGCGTCCCCTCCATCTCCCCTTCTCACTTGGACAAAGGCAGCTGCTTTTGCCCCCCAGAGTTCAATGAGTGTCATAACAAGGGATGGTCTTTGCTTAACACATTACTGCGTGCTGGTTTCCTTACAAGTGACCAGAGTGCACTTGAAAGATAAAATATGAGCTCCCTAGAGACTCAATGGATAACATTGAGAAAAATGGGAAACCCAGAAAACTTAATTGTACTCATGAGGAACCTGCACAGATACCAGGAGGCTGTCATTCAGACAGAACAAGGGCATACTACATGGTTTAAAACCAGGAAGGGAGTGCATCACCATACTTGTTCAATCTCCATGCTGGGCAAATAATCTGAGAAGTTAGACCACATGAAAAGAATGTGGCATCAGGATTGGAGGAAGGCTCATTAACAACCTGAGATTTGCAGACGACATAACTTTCCTTGCTGAAAGTGAGGATGACTTGAAGAACTTACTGATGAAGATTGTAGACTATAGTCTGCAGTATGGATTACACCTCAATATAAAGAAAAAAAATCCTCACAACTAGACCAATAAGCAGCTTCAAAATGAACAGAGGAAAGATTGAAGTTGTCAAAGATTTCATATTACTTGGTTCCATAATCAACACCATTGGAAGCAGCAGCCAAGACATCACACAAAATGTTGCACTGGACAAATCTGCAAAAGACCTCTTTCAAGTGCTGAAGAGCAAAGATGTCTCTTTGAAGACTAAGGGGTGGCTAACCTATGC